GCTGATTGTGCGGAGAAAGCACAGTTGACAATTACTTTGCCCTTATTTTTCCTGGCTCACTTATGGCCTTTTTTAAGGTCTATTTCATTGCTTTACCAGGATGAAAATGAGGAGAAAAATGGAAATGGTGAAAGCAAGATGTGATTGCTCTGAAGGCGATGCAAAACAAACGCCTACTTTGAATGCGTTTGCACATTTTACTACCAAAAACTGGTAATCTCACTTCTAAAGTTCAAAATTTTAATTCATAATGACATTTTTTCAAGACGTGGTGCTGGGGGGATCGCCTCACAGTTTGCATTCAACTCGCCTGTAGCCACAAGAGGAATAATCCACAATATTGCTTGCAAAACAACAAAGAAATTACATCTACTGAATAAGTTTCAGTGGCGTTCAATTTAGCTGTGAAAAGATATCTGTAAATATTTGTGAGGATGGCAACATGATGACTGAGGAGGCCTAAGGGGGGAGTAGGCAAATGGGTTTGAGCAAAAAAGCCAATCAAATACGTGAACATACTCGCAGAGTGAATGTAGGAGCACTCGCACAGAGAAGAGCCAAGTCCATGTGCCAAACTTATCTTGCTTTAGTTCGTGGATAGCTTAGCAGAAAGGACGCGATCCACTTTACTATGTGAAGCACAGGTTCAAAAATGTGGGTTAGAAGGACAGAACCACAATCTGCAGATTCTAATTTGAGGTGCCATTCAAAAACACTTATAAGGCAATTCGAAATATCAGAATAACCAGGAGTCGAGAAGGCAGGTTCATTGTAAACCAAATGTTTCCTTGCGTGCCATTTATGCAAGAAATGGAATAGCAGAGTCATTCCCACAAAATAAACACCCATTTGCTCGCACTAGAATAATGATTATCGTGGATCATTGTTGGATATCTTTCAAAGTACCTACTTAAATACACAGCACATACTACTAACTGGAGACTTCAGTAGTTGTCATATCCTTATGCTTGGGAAGAAGAATCTCGAAACCATAATTATTTCGTGAGCTAACTATTTGTGTGTGATGAGGGAGAACCAATGGAAATGTGGATCCAATTTCTTCACAGAATGATGGGTGAATTCGAGTTGAGGGAGCTACTTTCACCCTCCGTTTTTTTGGAGGCAGCAGATGGTTGACAATTTGAGAAATGGAATAACAAAATCTGACGGCTGCTTGACTGCGGAATGGACATGTGGAAATGTCCGATAATGAGTGAAATGGAACGTAGTCCTTCCGTAGAAATGGCGACAACATTGACATAGATGAAAAGTTAGTCTATCTGCCATTTGCTGAAAGGAGGCAGCTCGTTGTATTGTGGAGGGGTCGTGGGTACCTCCATTACATCATATGGGACCGAACTAAAGGGATCTGTGATTGACGTTTCATGGAATATGTGAATATGGAATCGTTGAAAATGACTGGGAACATCCAGGTCGACTTCACAATGCAGTCATCAATCACCCACCCCTAGCTTCTACAACCATCCATTCATCAATCTGGTAGTACGAACGCAAACACCATGCTCCGAATTGCGACACTGAAATGTCTGCCTACTAAGATCGTTATTTTCGTGGTCCCTCCGGTTGGAAACGCTGTGGCTAGCCGGAGTCCACTGTTACGCAATACTTTATAAGACCTAGCTGAACAAGTCCACCGGACTTCAGAAAATCTATTCCATGTGATAATTTTTCCTGGTATCGTGGTATGCTTTAATTAATTAGCTGTTTCGCCTACACAAGTTGTCAACCCTCCGTGACCTGCTCCTCCACCCTCTATACGTGTCTACAGCCCCCGAGATCTGCTAGACGCTAACCGATCACCTTCTTCGTCATCTCATCACCCCTTATATGCGTCATTGTAGTGGGTAAGTTGGTAGCTCTTAAAATGGCATTAATCACCATCAGGAAGTATTGACTTATTATTCCTTCCCAGCATCTACTTATTAGTGTTAGTAGCAGGTGTGCACTAACCGCGGGTTTGGAATAGCTTTTCCAAAGGTGATGCAGTCCTTGCGTTGCATCTTTACTCCACCTTTGGTTGAGTCCATCTTTTGCATTTGTTTCAGGTGAGGGGATACTCAGTAGAGAGGAAAAGGTGAACAATTCTCAGACATTCCAGGGGTGCCTACTTTATTCGTGGAATCGATTGCAGCGGTGAATCTCTGGTCATCTGATCTACACCATTCAGCATCCACAAAGATTTCTTTTAGTGTAACATTTGGCTGCAAATTGATAGAGAAGGAATGCATGTGATGGCCTGTCACCGGCGGGTAGTGCTTTTAAAACCGAGCAGCAGGTCCACAAGGGAACCAAATAAAGTTGCTTCGTGTCAGTGATTGCGTTGCCCGGTGATTGGTATGATCTACTAAAAGCTTGGAGATAGTTAGTATATCCCCCACTATTGCCATATATATGTGGCTCTCGATTTTCTACTCCACCCTTCACGTTACACATACGTGACACATCAATTTGGCACTAAATAATTGGAATAGGTAAGCAGAGTCAATGTGAGACAAGTGCTGTCCATATTATATGCCAAAGCAGCGCAAATACATCAACTAAAGCTATTAAAATTGACGTTATCAGCATTGGGATGGGAGATGTAGATTCATCATTGCCATGGCCAAGGTCTGGGTGTTTACAAGTGTCAACAAAAACCGCGTCATTCACATATCTCTCTTCCTGTTTAACTTACCATGCCAATCAGTTTACTATCGCCTTCACAAGTGCCACAGAGGCCAACTCGTGCCTACAGCTGACGCACATCCAACTGAGGTCTTGAATAATGCATTGAGGCTCCTTCATGGGCACGCGATGCGCATCACACCCGTTCCTTCAGACACTTAGCAGTGTAATTGGTAGAAGGAAGCCAAGTGTAAGCAAAACGAGACTAGACGGATGTCGGATGTCAAAGCTGTCGAAGCGTGGCCACCTCAGGTGAAAATCTGACATCTCTATAGCTTTATCGTCAGTCCGCTTGTACAGTGAGTGTGAGGAGACGGGAATGGGACTCCGTTCTGTGTGTCAAAACAGAAGCCGGTTGTGTTCATGGATCAAGTGGGCCTTGGTGTGGAGAGTCGAAATTCGACAATGTCTCGGGAACACATCCATTACCAATCTACTTTGCAAGCAACTTGACAATGAGTGCAACGATCACAAACAAGCGAACCAAGCGAGCTTTGACCTATTCTTTAATCTTGGAAAGAGTAACCCCATCATCACATTACTATGACGTGTTTCTTTTGAGTTTGAGGTACAGCAGTTCTAAAGGGATCGTGTAGCATTAGCAGTGGCTGATATTGGGACCGCACGGAGGAGAGTTACCGACTCAAACCCGAGATTGATCCTGCTGGCAACTTTACCCAGTACTATCATCTCGCTGCCACCATCACCATACCAGATCCTCAATGCTATTCAACACTAATTCCGCTTGAATTGAACCAGTTCTAGGTTTGACCTCCCATACTACGTTCATTTTATAATTTCTTAGGTCTTTTTTCCCTCGCATTTCACATTTTGGCACTCTAAATGAGGTGTTAGTATAAGCGTAATTCAGTATTGCCTCTACGGCCTGAGGGAGGGATTGCTCCTCGCCTGAAGGCTTATCCAATGCTGTGAGGATCATAAAGCACCTACTGAACTAAATAAGTAGAGCGCATCAACTATGTGTCTATTCAAGGCAAATCTTACCTATCACCCCATTCACACAGAATGCAAACTTTTTAGCAAATAACAACTTTGACCACGATCTTGTCAAACTAATTAAGCTATGATATAACTTAAGTTCCCTGAAAATTGTGGACGTGGTCCCCTCAAACCGAAAAAGACGCATTTCTCACTCGCGGTGCTTACACTCCTCGCGTTTCGGTTACCACGCCATTGGCTGTACAACGCAGATAGGTAATTTGTAATAAAAAATTGTAAAGTACAATGCGAAGTAATCCAGCGTGAGTCAGCGAAGCGGTGGTCAGAGGGTGAAACAGCAAGCAAATTGCGACACTTGGCGGCCTTATGTTTTCGTGAGAAGAAAGGACAAACTGGCAGGCAAGAATTTGTGCATACCCCTCGCATCCTCACTATCCTTTGCAAATCGCTGAGGAGATGGCGACCGATTTAGACCAGGGCGAGATCCTGGTAGCAATTTCACTGCACCAAGCAGCTCTCCCCTAACAGAAGGCAAATGCAATTTAACTCTGGCATCCGTCGCTTCAAACTGCTTCGGGTTCAAAGTGCTCATTTTCCGCAACATTCTACAATCTACTCTGTTCATGCATTGCAGCTTCCGTCTTCCATCTCCCTCATTCAAATAGGATTGTGTAAGATCACATTTGACAGTCAAAAAGTTAGCCTTCTGACGAGACCGCTTTTATGGTAATGCAAGAACAAACACGGAAACTGCAATCGCGTACAGCCACGTGCATCGACCTCTATGAAGGCCAAAAATCACAGTGTGCACAGCGCAAAATCCATGAAGAGGGCAAGTCAACAACCGCTAACAGACCGAAACCCAGTGCCATTAATAAAACAACCGTGCCATCTCAGTAGGGTGACATTAGCACGTCCGCAGTCGCCGCAAGTCAGTGTGTGCGCACGTGCACTGAGATAGCACTGAGGTATTAAAGGTTAATTCTTTGTCCAACACTGCCAAGGGAAGTACCAAACACTGATAACAATGTCATTCCACATCGAAGACGACATGCCCGCCCTCCATCAATTGCGCACCGCCATCATCTTCTTCCAGGAGAGAATCTCCAACAGTCCCACACCACCCTCAACACAAGCAGCACTGCAACAAACGAATGCTAACAATAAAGCCCCAGTCACGTACTCATTAACCCGTTCATCCCTCAACCATTCAAAGGCCCAGCATTAACACCCAAAGTCAACAAATTTTGCCACCGCTTACTGATGCAACAACTCAAGGAATCAAACGAAACAATGGCGGAAAATGAAAGCGACAAAACCCCAACAACAACAACAGCAACAACAATAAGAACCACCTAACTGTCACCGCGCCAGTGTGCATCAGCTCCAGTGCATGCACGAGCCGCGAACTCCTTCGAAGCTATGTAATCCTTCAACTGCGGCAAGTTCTACAAGGAAAAAATGACATCCAATCTAAACAGCTAAGAACTCCACACACTCCTCCACCAGTCGCAAGCGGTCCACCCATTTACCTCGAAACGCGTCAAGTAGGCCTGCAGTTTGGGATACTTCTGCAAACACGTTGGCTCAAACTTCTTCAGCTCGATCAACACCTCGCACAGACTAAAGTCGGGATAACTGATCTACAAACAGAAGAGGTAACAACTGAGTTGAAACACCTTACCATTAACTATGAAAGGGACAACACACTCCCATATCCACAGAGCCTACAATGCCAAAGGAATGCTGATTATGCACCAACGAACCATTTGACCCACTTAATAGCTAACAACCAAATGGCCACAAAAAGTACGACTACAACAAATACAGACAATAGGTAGCAGATGATAGAGGAGTGATAGAAATACACCAACCTTCTCACCAGTAAGCCATACTTTTTCGTCCAAAAAGGCCTCAAAGTTCGTCAATTTTTGTGCAAGGGTCTCCATGAAACCTGGCTTCAACTTCTCCTGCACCAATCATGCAAATCAAAGGAGATCAGCATTTGGAAACAACTCCAATGCTTTGGTAGAGTCGACTTACCCAATCGGCGCTATAGCAAACATCACCGAAAGACATCTGGAGATCAAAAAACCTCGCATTGAAGCATATGCAGTACTGCACGTCGCTTTTTACAATTAGGAACTGCAATTCGAACACACCATAGGATGAATTCCGATAGCTCAACATAACCAGGTAAAGAAGCCTAATGGACGACAACCCAAACCAACTCACTCATGCCATGTCTATCAGCAATGTACTCCAAAATGGCGCCAGACTGAGTCAACTTGAAGTCGCCGTCAATGTAGTATGGCAACTATATGAGACGCTAGTAAGAGGTGGAACATGAAGGGCCGACCTACATTGGGAAAGTCGAGACCCAACGAAAACTTCTCTGACAGCCATGCATTACGATCGAGTGTTGGAGCTGACGAGTGTGCATGAAGCAGAAACTACTCTTACCTACCTGGGCCAAACGTGTACTGCTTGTCATCGTACTCGACTCCCACATATTTCAGCAGAAGACGGCTCCGTTCCCCAAGCTAAGCAAAATAAAACAAAAATCAGAAAAGCCACTAAAGGTGACTGTAGACAACGTCAAGCAGTCGCCAATGGTCTGGAACGCCGAATAGCTACTGATGCATTGAAACCCCGAGTTTAGAAACCAAATGACATTGCTGTTAGGGCTACTATCAAATAACATTAGCGACACCGGGCGACTTCGAATAAACTCGATTTCATAAGCCCTCTAAAGTAAGCAGCACGCCGCACTCACCCCTTTGATATCCCAATAAGCCAAAACAGGCGCCATCGCAGCGCTGAAGAGCAAGCACACAACCCAGGCACCCGTTCAAAATGCAAACCGTTTCGAAAGTCTCCCCCAAATGACCTTAAGGACTGTCTTAAAGTGCAAGATCACTAAATCACTAAAATAAACAACTTTAAAAAAAGTTTAAAATAGATCTAAAGCAGTAAATTGTTAACAAAATAAGTGGACACAGTAATGACTAAAAGATTTGCAAAATGAGAGGGCATCGCGACAAAGGAAGAATGTGTATTTGCCTACTCCTCATTCGATGGCAATTAAGTAAAGATGCCCACCAAACGCAAATGTATTGCTAGCAAGTAATTTATCAGTTGTGAGTACGGCATTGACACGGGGAAATTGGCAGGAAGTAGGGCATTTCCTCATGCATGTTCAGTTGAAGCAACAGATTTGCTTCTAGGCGATAACCACACAGTTAGTCACTACCACAATGCTATTTAATTTATAATGTGAATTTAATTTGTGTTTCCACCTTCGGCACCCATTAAGTCAACTTTTGGTTGGTAATCTTTGGTCTTTTTAATTTCCTACTAGGGACCGCATAACACGTCGTGAAAGCCCTGTTGCCGGAGAGAAGTGCACCCTGGGGGAGACTAAGGAGCCTGTGACCTTAAGAGCAGGGTCAAATAAAGTATCAAATCACCTCAGTGCTTCTACTTCACCTTAAATTAGCACACTTTTTGCGTCTGTGTTGAGCTGGTTTGCAAACACATGAGATAAATAAGTGACAAATTGACAAGTCGTTTTTGATTTTCCACCATCATAAGCTCATGAGCATCGTTGTCAGCATTAGAACATTCCGAAGAGAACCCGAACGGTTTGTCATTTACAAAATATTATGCGTGGACTCCTTGTTTATAAGGTTATCTACATCTCCCGTAAATAAGGGCAATTTTTCAGGTAAACGGATATACGACGGCCTAGAGATATCATACACCCATCCTGTCCACACGACAAATAAAAAAGTCTCAAGCATGGTCACTCTAGCCTAGAGGACGGTGTAGACTTGCCGCTTGTCCTCTAAAGGGTGCATCCAGGCCAGAATATATCACAGGTTTGTGCTGTGTGTTTACAAATATCAAAAACAACTGCACGAACCACATATCTCTTGTCTTGTTTAACTGATTTCCTGCCGCCTTTGTTGGTGCTGCGGTAGCCAAATCACGCCTAAAGCCAAAGCTTACTTTACTAAATCCTTGGATAGCCACATGAAGCTCCTTTCTGGACAGACTTCATAGCTTACGCAGTTCCCTTCGCAACTTTAGTGGTGGAGAGGCAGAAAGAGCACAAAGCGAGACCGAAATACGACCAGTGGGATTTTGAGAGGACAGAGTTGGTGCAGTGCCGTCGTAGGTAAGGAAGCAGCATCACCCCTGACATCAAAATCGCATTCCAACCGCACAATGCACGCGAGGGTACGGAAATGTGGTCCCACTTCATGAGTCGATACAGCTGTCGAGTGTTTTCATGCATTCGCTGGGCCTCGGTGCGGAACGCACCCATTGCCAAGCATCTTTGCAAACAACCTCATGACGAGTGACTCGTGCATCTGGTCCTGTTTACAGCAACTACGGACAGACAAGCTTCATGCGCTCTTGCCTACCCTCTATCCTTGACAGGGTCACGCCCAGTAACACGCACTTTTGGCGTCTTTATGAGACCAAAATATGAACGTTCCCAATGGACCGTGTCACGAAGTGAGTGAACGAACGCCAAAGTGAATTCCGATTACGATTCCATAATGTCTGACATCCCCTTATCATTTCAGTGTCACAGCCAACCAAAAGTGATCCAGCTGCACTTCGGTCGGGTGTGAGGTCCTCACGTTCCACGCCATTCTCTAATCCACTTTACTCAGCCAAACCTTTTTCATTCTTCTGCTTTGCGTATTACGCAATTTGCTACTCCGACTGCATCTCTTTTCATGGAAGACTTTGGAGAGGATCTATGAAGGTCATGTCAGGAAGATGAAATCTTGGTTTCCTGTTGACACCTCTTTAGTGATCAGACAAGACTAAACACGGAATCGTCGTCTACCATCCCTTATCTAATGGATCACAACCACACACAGCACTCCTCCCCGAAGAGAGAGACGCAAACTGCTGAACAGGATGCTTGAATTGGAGTACGGACTGCGTGAAAGACATCACGAGGTGCTTGCGAATTACCGCTAAAAGACTAAATCCAGATGCCGCATATAAAACGAATGGGACATCAAAGTAGGGCAAAATTTGCATGGCCATCATCTTGCAAAACACGCCCCCAAGGCGACACGCCCATCGCCTGGAATGACGACTCAGTTGCCCATCTGCGGGCATACAGAGAAGGTACATCGTCAAGGCCACGTTTCGTCCCACCCATCCAGTGCCTCCAGACCCATCCTACCTAAAGTTCCGCTTGTCGCTCCATCATACCAACTGAACAGGATTTGGTACCACAAAGGCACCTAGGGTTCACCCCTTGTCGAACAATGACGAACTGCACACCAAACTTACTCCCGCCTAACCACGCAGCATCACCAGCTCCCCTTCAAAGAACAATCACAATTCTTTTCTTCTCACTCTTGATGTAAGCAACACAATCACAAGCCGATGTCAACAGAAGCCCCCAGACACACATTCTGCGTTCCGACTTCCCTCCTTTCTCCCTCCTCCAACCATTCCAAAAGCCCAGTCTAAGAACTTAACGTTGATATAATTTAACGCCAATTAGTTATTAGAAGGCTCATAGAATTAAGCGAAAGAAGTAACACCAAAGCATGGACATTCGTCTAATGGTCACCACGCCAATGTGCACTTGGTCCATGGCAAGAAATTGTATTGAACTCCTTCGAAGTCATGTAATTCTTCAGTGCAGGCAAGTTCTACAAAGAAAACATTACCTCCGATCTCAGTGTCCAAGATCCAAACTCGGGCTTCTACCAATGCCGAACAATCTATCCAATTACCTCGAAACGTGACAAGTAGGCCTGCAGTTTGGGATACTTCGCCAGACACGTTGGCTCAAACTTCGCCAGCTGGTTCAGCAGCTCACACAAACTAAAGTCGGGATAATTAATCTACAAATAAAAGAGACAACATCGGCATTGGTACATCCTACAGCCAACCATGGCAAGAACAAAATCCCTCCACATCTGCTAAACAGTCAATACCGAAGAATGCTGATAGTGCACCTAGAGACCATCTTACATGTCCAACAGCCACAAACCAACTGGCTGTAAGAAGCAAAAGAAGAGAGGAAAATGATTACAAGTAGATAGAAGGTGGAAATGCACCCATCTTTTCACCAGTAAGCCACTCCTTTTCGCCCAAAAATGTCTCAAAGTTAAGGAGCTTCTCCGCAAGGGTCTCCAAGAATTTTGGAGTCAATTTCGCCTGTGAAAATTGTAAAAGAGAAAGGGTAACAGGGTTTAGGAGTAAACCGACATTTGTGGACTCCCACTTACTTTTCAAAAGGCAAAACTTACAAAATCTGGACTATAACAAGTATGTACGAACGCCACGCGCAAATCCACAACCTCGCATTGAAGCATGTGCAGCACCGCGCGTTGCTTTTTGCAATCGGGAACTACAATGCAAGCGGAGCACAAAGTAAAGTGAACAGCTCAACATCAGACAGAATGACTTGAAGAAGAGCAATACAAACTCACCCATGCCGTGTTTATCACCAATGTACTGCAAAATAGCCCCAGATTGAGTCAACTTGAAATCACCGTCGATATAATAGGGTAACTATGAAGGATATTCGTTCTACTTTGAACAGGGAGAGGCTACCTACATTAGGGAAGTCGAGATCCAGCGAGTACTTCTCCGACAGCCATGCACTACGATCGAAAGTTGGAGCTAGTGAGTACGGATAGGACACGAAACACTCGCGCTTACATGGACCACACTTGTATCGTTTGTCATGAAACTCTACTCCCAGGTATTTCAGCAGAAGTCGACTCTGTTCCGCAAGCTAGGCAAAATAGGGAAAGAGAAAAGGCGCATAGAATCGCCGCCAGGCAAGTGTATAGAGTCTTCAGCTGATTTTAGCGACAAATGAGAGATGTAGCAATAGAAATGATGTTTACAGATCGAATGATGCCGCTTTTAAGTTTAATATCAATTAGAGCTGTCACTATTAACCCAATTTGCACTGTCTCCATTTCGTGAGTAATTTGCTGCAAGATGCATGTGGCACCTACCCCTCTGATATCCCAATAACCCAAAGTAGGCGCCATCACGGTGCACTCACGCGGACAAGAAAACGGAATCTTCGCCCCAAATGGAGCCCACTATGTAGTGCTCGTCTGGATGGCCTTAAAAGCCGACCCAAAATGCATGAGCAGCAGCGTATTAAAATAAACTACCATAATAAAATACACCTTAGGCATTTGAATTTCATGCAATTGCGCAGTTTGTTTTTAGGTTGTTAGAATCAGCACAGTGATATCACAGGGCCTGAATAATTTTCGATTCCATTATAATTTCATATTAAATCAGAGAGGATGCTTTGTAAATTCTGTCTGCCATATTTGAACCCCTTATCTTTTTAATAAAAAACCTACGAAATAAATTATTGAGTGGCCTTAATACAAAAAAGATCAGCATGAAATAGCGTATTTACTTGATGCACGTAATTTGTTTTAAAGGGACCGTTTCTCCTTCCGGATATTCAGTTATAGTTTTTGGTCAAAGACATCACTTATGACTGCGGTTGTTTCTACTTGACTTTAATTACAGCGACCACGATTTGGCGGGCTTTGTGCAACCCGCCCCACCAGCTATCCATGACAGCGATCCCGCCTATGTTGCGCAGTTTGGACGCATTTTTCATAAACTCGGGATAGAACCATTTTACTAGGTTGTATCATAGAGAGAGTGGCCTCTCATCTAGAATGGGGTGTAGATACACGGAGGTCCTTCCATCTGAGTGTCATAAATTCATTTAACGAGGTTTGGAAGCATAAGTTTGAAGTTGTTGCAACTTGTGTGAGGGCTGCAGTGCTCGACCTAAGCCCGAGACAGATCCCAAAAACAAGCTAGACGTATTTTGCGCTTAAATTATTCAAAAATGGGCCATGAGACTAGTAAAAGACCTTAAACAACTCATTGCTTCAGGCTGGGGCCTTAGTCGTTTAGCTCCAGCCGAACATCTCACAATTTATTTGAGAAATACCCGAGATAGTTCCTAGCAAAATCTGACTTTGTCAACTTGCTGACAATGTGGCTTTAGGCAGGAGCAGTTAGTCGGTTGAAGGCAACCCGACCTTGATCTTTAATTCGTCAGAATGAAAATCGACAAACCTCGAGAAGAACGTAGGAACTATGCAGTTATTCTGCTTCATTCGTGATGTTGAAATCCACCTGTTTGTCTGGTCTTTGATCTCAAGATCGTCTTGAAAGTATGCATTGTCAGGGTCTGTGGCACCGATCCAGGCAATAACAGTCAGGCGTCACATATGTGTGACACAGGTGGCACATGTTACGAATGTATTGCCTTTCCTGTGTGGTCGGCAATCACCTAGTGTGTACACCTGATCATTGGCTACAGCCTGACAGGCAGTTAAGTCCTTTATTGACATTCACAGCAGATATCATGTCGCCGCATAGTGGTTGCATTGGTCCATGCATTTCGGCCTCTAATACCACGCCCGATGTGTGGAATCGCCACAGCTCAATAGAGGGAGGAGATAAGACCATTCCGGAATAATTTATTGGCGGCGGGATAGGGAAAAGCCATTTGTCAAGTGAACGAGCGTAACGTCTCTGCAGTCTCCAGACGATGTTAACGAAGAAAGATGGTGATCATTGGCAGAGGTGGCCAAACCTAATAGGGAAGAATTCAAAGCACAGGAAGGAATGCAAATGAGGGTTGCACAATGGTAATAACATTCAAAAATTTGGAATGGGGAGCTTGGTTTGCTGTGGGAATCCCTCGGAAAGCCAATTTATGCCTTACGACTTATTAAATGCCAGTCCCTAGAAGCGTCGTAAAGCAACAGAAGTCTGTAAATGGCGTTACTATGGCAGAGAGAAAGAGAAGAGAGGCACGATTTTAGTCATGGAGAGGTTGTGTCTGGGGTTGGAGGGCTCCTGCATGTTCCTCATTCGGGACGATGCGAAGTTGTAGTGGACAAATAAAGGGGTACTGATGGTAAAAGCGGCCCATCAGCAGTCTCATCCAACCTGTCGATACCAAGGTGATGACTGTTGCAACTGCATCCCCAGACATACGCAACGTCCCATTCAAAGAATTTTCACTCTCACTGCGCATTACGCACCGTCTTCAGCGAGGAAGGGGTATCAAGAGCATTATCGAATGCCAGTTGGATGCATTCCTTTGTATAGTGCAGAAGCGTAGCCGAAGAGTGATGCTAAAGGAAGCTTTCAGGCGGGATCTGCACGTTAACAACCCACCAGCACCTTAAACACTGAATTAACTCAATTTCAGTGGACTTGGATGTAGTGTGGAAGGATCTCGGACGCAGTAGCATAACGGTGTGCGTTCCACACCCAGAAGGAGTCCAGCTGAGGCGTGGTTCCTGGAATGAGCGCACCTTATCTAGAACCAGCAGAAGTGCTGTCAAATTAAGGGAACGATGTTGAATGGATGTGAGACTTCGCAGGTGACAGTTGCCTCCACGGAAGACACACTCATCAACTAGCGTATATCCAGAGTTACTACGAGGAGCAGAACTTCTGACGAAAGGCAAAAGCTGAGAAATGGGAAGAGTAGTGGCATGGCTAACAAAAACCTCCACTCCCTCATAGACTTCAGCTAAAATGATGAATCCCACGGCGCCATACTTCTTTTTCCACGCTAGTTTTACCCTTCCGGTGACATGGGCCCACCAGCAGGAACCAAAAGCAATTCGACACTGCTTTCTGCTGCATTAAATTTGTCCTGTTAGTCAAGTCCACGGATTCCAATGCATTCGCGAAATCGCTCTCTACGTTAATACCTTCTACGGTCTTTTGGCCTCCTTCTTACACCATCTCGCGTTACCTGTCAGATCGCGTTTGGAAGATAGAGAACTCACTTCATGGTGAAACACGTACATCGCACCCACCACTCCAATTTCGGTGAACCACTACCACGAGTATCAAACAACACGAAGGCAGACGCACGCTGTCTAAATGACTGCTTGAATTACAGCGAACACCGCGTCAAAGCTATGACAAAGGCCAGCGAGTTGCTGCCAAGAGAGTAAATTGCGCTGTCGCAAATAAGACGACAATGTCATAAAAGAAGGGCAACACGGAGGCACCTTAGGTGCACTCCTTTCCCAAAAGTGACAAGCAAAATGTCAAACAGCAATGACAGCGACCTTCCACGTCGAAGACAACATCTATTCTAGCAGAAAACCTCAACACAGGCAGCAATGGTATTACAGGACTTTTGCTGCCTGGACAAACCACAGCCAACACAACCAACGAAGTCATGACTTCTGTGATGCAATTAATCTCATCGCTTCAACCCTTCCTCCCTCAATCACTTCAACAGGACCATCTGAGCACTCCGCTGCGACTAACTCCAACCCAATTTATTGATCAAACCACTCATGACAACAAGCAAAACAATGGCAAGGAGTGGAAGCAGCAGCACCATAACAACAAGGACAATCACCTAACAGCCACCGACCCATTTTGCAATCGGTGCATTGCAAGGACGCGTCTTGAACTCCTTCGAAGCCATGTACTCCCTCAATGCAGGCAAGTTCTGCAAGGCGAAACATAACATACAATCTCAGTAGACGAGATCTCCACCCACACCCACACCCACATCCGCCACTCGCAAGCACTCCATCCATCTACCTCAAAACGCGTCAAGTACGACTGCAGTTTGGGATACATCTCCAGACAACTTGGCTCGAACTTCCTCAGCTGGTTCAACAATTCACACAGATTGAAGTCCGGATAGTTGATCTGCACACAATAGGGGTAACATTTGCATTGACACCCTACCACCAACCACGTAAGGCATAACAGTCGCCATACAATTACTGAAGTAACAATACCAACGAAATGCCGACTAGGCATCGATAAACACTCTAACTTACTCATCATCTAACATCTACGTAACAAAGGAATCAGAACTGCAGAAAAGAATACAAATAAAGAAGACAGGTGATGGAAATACACGCACCTTGTCACCAGTAAGCCAGTCCTTCTCACCCAAGTATGCCCCAAAGTTCGGCAGTTTCTGTGACAGCGTCTCCAAGAAGCCGGGCTTCAACTTCTCCTGCCCAATCGGAGAAATCGAAGGAAATCGGACTTCAGAAATGACTCAACACTGCGGATTTTTCATGAATATTTTTAAAGAAAATCGACTTACAAAATCAGGATTATAGCAAGTCATTACAAAGGACATGCGCAAATCCATAGCCTCGCACTAAAGCATGTGTAGCACCGCACGTCGTCTCTTGCAATTGGGAACTGCAATGCAAACACACACTACAACATCAATACGGATAACTCAACAAAGTCAGTTTGAATGATTTGACCGGTGACAGCCCAAACCAACTCACTCATACCGTGTCTATCAGCAATGTACTCCAAAATAGCTCCTGACTGAATCAACTTGAAGTCGCCGTCATTGTAGTAGGGCAAATATATGAGACGTTGGTTGTGGATGGAACATGAAGGGACCACCTACATTGGGAAAGTCGAGACCCAACGAAAACTTCTCTGACAGCCATGCACTACGATCGAAGGTCGGACCTGAAAATGGTGGCTAAGACGCGAACCACTCCTGCTTACCTGGACCATACTTATATCGCTTGTCATCGTACTCCACCCCCATGTACTTCAATAGAAGATGACTGCTGCGCAAGCTAGACAATATCAACCAAATAAGTTTAGAAAGCTACCCCAGTTCCCCCCTGTAGCTACATATACTTTTCAATTCACCTAAATGACGTGTAGGATATGTAGCGATAAAATTTCAAGGTGACAGATGAAATGATGCTGCTTCTATGTCTAGCATCAATTAAAGTAGTCACTTCGGTTCCAATTTCTACTCAATTTATTTAGCAAGTATTCTGCTACAAGAAACGGGTTGCACTCACCCCTCTGATATCCCATTAACCCAGAGTAGGCGCCATCACAGTGCAGTCACGAAGGCAAGCTAACGAAGCCGACCTCCTCACCGACTTTCTTTGTATATTCCTCTTCCCAATGGCCTTGTTAGCCAACTCAAAATGCATAAGCAGCAGCATATTAAAACACACTGCTTTAATAAAATTCTCAACAGCCTAGTAGTTTAATGAAATTATTGGCTTGCCAACACACAGCCGGTGACCATTTCTGCCTATATTTCCACCTCAAGTAAAAAGGAGTGAGTGCAGCCCGTCAAAATAATTTTTTTATACTTGACCGCGTATAATTTTGAATTGCTTAGTAAAAAGGAGGTGGGTAATCAGCCTTGATACTGGAAAATTCAGCATAAACTGGCAATTATATTAAACACAACTTGCCTTGTTTCCAAATAATCCAATTCACGTCCCAGATATTCAGCTTGAGCCTTGAATTTTTGCACATTACGCGTAATCACATTTATTCATAACTTAGCTTTAATTATGGTGACTATTGACTGAGAGGTGTCGTGCGCTCCATTCCACCGTCTATTCATGGCAGTATTCTCGTCGCTAAGGAAAAATTTGAATGTATTTATCACTACCTTAAGACAAAATTGTTATCGCCAAATCGTGCTATAAAGAGCGTGGCAAATTATAAAACAGGCATTGTAGATATACGAGGTATCCTCTTGTCCCATTTATTTTACACTTTTTGTCAATTGTGGGGAGCATAATTTGGAATCCAGCGTACCTCGTGTGGACTGTTCAGCTCGACTCAAGCCTGAGACATATTAGGGAAAGGAGCTTGCTAGGGATTACAGCCTTACTACTTCAAACACCTCTAGATTATTCTCCTCTTTTCCATGCGTCAGACGCAAGTTTTTCTAAACCTAGCTGTTTCATACTAAGTTTTTCGCCTCCTCCGTCACATATTCCCCCTAAAGCTTATTTCTGAATTGAATTAACAAAAGTGGGATCATGATTTATCATAACGAGGAAGTGAAAATGCATTGTTATATCAACCAAACACTACACACATCAGCTGGACAATATCGAAATTGGACTTTGTCAAATTGCCGATAATGTAGCCTCGGGGAGGAGCAGTTTGTCAGTTTCAGGCAATCCGACATTGACATGTAACTCGTCGGAATGGAAATTGACAATCCTCGAGACAACTGTAGGACCTATGCAGGTATTCCGTTTCCCTCATGGTGTAGCTAACCGCCCTTTTATCTTGCGTTCGGAATCAAAATCGCTTTCAACATATTTGCTGTTAGAGGTGATGTTTGAAGATAAATGGTCACCGCAGAGCGCAAAATACGCTCCCATTGAATTGGTGTTTGTTCCTGAGGCAACAATAGGGTCTAAAACAAAAAATAATTGTATCAGACGTAATTACACTGTTTCTACTTCTTGAACCAGCTTTAGTTGCTCCAAACCAATGCAAAGTAGTCTGCATGTATGTGACACCTACCTGGAGGATCAAAATTGGGTGTCATACATACGTGACACAGGCGGCGCATGTTAATAGCGCTTTGCTTCTCCTATGAGGTCAGCAATCGCTTAGTGTGTACACCTAGTCATTGGCTACAGCCTGACAGACAGTCAAGTCCTTTGTTTATATTCTCAGCGGATGTCACGTCGCCGCATAATGGTTACATTGGTCCACACATTTCGGCCTCTGACACCACGCTGGACGAAAACATCGCCTTTGCAATCTTTTGCCATTTTTCAATAGAGGGAGGACATAAGACCATTCCGGAATGATCCACTGAGGGTAGGATGGGAGGACAGCATTTGGTCTCGGTAGTCTCCAGACGATGTTGACGAAGATAGACGATGATCGCCTGCAAAAGCGGTCAAATGTAACAGACAACAATCCAAAACACAAAACGAATTCTGAAGAAGATTTGATTAGACAGGTCCTTAATCGGAGACTCTAGGCACACGACTGTCCTCTACGGAATGAAAATGGCTGACTAAAGCACCATTTCATCATATACGAAAACGCCACAACAGAACTTGGAAAGGAACGCATTTTCGACAGAGCAGCCCCAAATCATCGTGGACTGCTGGCACAGGTCTCATCGATTTGCGCCGCTGATGGAGACGGGCCTTTCAAATGTGCCATCTTGACAATGTCAAGTTTTCACCACACTCTTCCCCCTCTTCTTAGCTCTCCATTTTGATGCTCTGTATCTCAACAAAATCCGCACTAGCGCTGACACTTGTCATCCTTCTATGCCTACAGACCACTACTGCGTCGCCCCAGAATAGTAGCAATGCAGACGACGAAGAAATGGTAGTGGAGTACTACAACAACACTCTCGGACGCAACGTCATGGACGGTGGAGGGCTACGGATTGAGATGGCCTCGTGTGAGTGATGGACTCTCTCTCCCTCTCCCTCCCTTCCATCCACCTTTTATTTGTCACCTAAAGTAGTCAATTACGACCTCCTTTTCTTCTCTCCAGCTGCTCCTCAACAGCTCCTTCGTCATCTGCCAACCCGATGCTGCTTTAGTAACATCTTCATGATCCTCCTTCTCCTCCGACTCCACTCCTTCTGATTTCCACTCTGCCTGCTCTTCCGCCAGCCGTCTTCCCTCGCCGACGGACGCCATTCACCCTCACCACCTTCAAGTCCACATTTTGCGTTTCCTTCTCGCCTCTTTATTATTCGCTTTTACTTTCCCTCTCCCTGCAGATTCCCGCCTGATGTGACAACAGCGTCTCCCCTCCAGCTATTCTATCGTGTCGGACAAACGCGGATTGCGCCTTGGCCAGAAGTTGTCGGTTGTCATGGCATCGATTTCGTTTGGTTGGTTGTAGCGCAACGTTTGCCCCCTAGCGTTGTTGTTCCCTCTCCAGACCACCCACCCCCTTGGCGAGTCAGCAAATACAATTCACGGATCGATAAATCGATGCTCCCACACACAAGTCCTCTTTCCTCAATATTCATTTTCCTTCTCCCACCAAAAAATCGATAAATACCAGTCCCTATAGACATTGTAAAGCAGCAGGCGTCTGTGAATGGCGTAGCTATGGCAGAGGGAGAGACGAGAGACGTGAAACCAGCGGTGGAGGGGTGGTAATCAGGGTGGAGAGGGCTCCTGCCTGTTCCTCATTCAGGGGCGTGAAATTGTCATAGACAAATAAAGGGGCACTGATAATAAAAGCAGCCTCTTGGCAGATCTAGCTGCTCAAAGATGTCACCAAAAGCCCGGCACAATAAGGCGCTAGGCCTAATGTCGCAAGGTGATGCAACAAGTGTAATTTCTGCCACTTGGAGCAGTTTTATCCAACCTGTCGCTTGCAGGGCGCCACGTGTCATATTTATGGTGAACTAAAACGCCAGCCAGATGCCATGTAGTGGTTTAGAACCCACAAGTCCTAATTGGTTATCTCGAGCTTGTTGCTGCTGCCACCAGTCAAGTCAGCCTCATCACAGAAACCACTTTGACCAAAAATGGATCCTAATAATTACCGTTCCAGAAATTTTCGTTCCTTCAGAGCACAGCGCCAGAGTAAGGTGGACGTCCTGTCTCGCGGATGCTTTGAAGGACTAGCTCTGCCGAGTGGGGCTATGTCCAGACACAAAGTAGGGGCACTAGTCGTATTTCGGGGTCTGCTAGGAGACTGCACAATTAGCTGTGGGATACAGTCTTCACACGTGACTCTGAACATGAGGTCTTGACATATACAAGTCGTTGTCAAAGTTCTCTGCTTCAAAGCTTCAACAATGGCTGGCTGATTACTCCTACGGTCTTTGACACTGCAGTGCCCCAATCATTTCACACGCCGATTTTGCGACTCAAAAAGCCACCGTCGAGGAGGCCGAACCCTTCATTGCCTCAATGCAGATCCACCACCGATTTCGCGAGGTATTGCAGCCACTGGCCCACGCAAGTATTGACATGGAATTAGAAAAAGGCTGAACAAAGAAGCATAACGCACCACTGCAAACGCTGATGGGAACTTTCACTTACGTCTGATGGATTACTGCGCATTGAAGGTCGAATCATCCCTCCCACTGCACCGAAATCAGCCATCTTAAGGAGCCGGGATACCGACTACTTGAAGATGGAGAGAATGAAGACCCTTTCTCGTCTTACAGGATGGTAACCAGGACCCAGCGGTGGTATCTACAAGCCACCCAGCAACTCTGGTCAGCATCTGGGCCAGGTCTGTTCGAGATTGCTCCCACAGACGCCATAGGAGATAACTCGCTGCAGTCCCATTGCCAGACAAATGCAACGCCCCATTCTAGATTCTTCACGCACAAAGCATTGAGCACTGCCTTCAGCGGGGAAGGAGTATCAGGAGAACTACTAACTGGCATTTAGACACACTTCTTGGCATAATATGGAGAATCTTGGCCTAAGAGAGATAGTAGCCAATGGCTTTGGGCGGTGTCTAGACATCCGCACACCAATGGCACCGCTGATCACCCCAACCACTCAATTTCGCGGTGCGGAGGGAGTTTTGATGCAGTGGCACAATGTTTTGCACTCCACACCCAGAAGGAGTCCAGCGAAGTCAGTCAAGAGCTCTTTTTTTGGAGTAGTTAAGGGGTTTGTGTTCCTCACAATCCACAGCACACCATCCATGCTTTCCCTGATCTTCCACCTGCCGTACTTCGTGGCAGATTGCGCTCCTCGTCTGGTGGATCACAATCACACACAGCAGTCCCAACCCAAAGGTGAGGAGTTACAATGTGGACTGAACCAATGCCACAACAACGGCCAGCGAGTAGTCGCCAAAACACCACCAAATCCAGGTGACGTGCATGACTGTGCCATCATAGTAGGGCAGCATTGCCATGTCCACCTTTCGCACAAATCACACACTCCAAAGCGGCACACCCATCCCCGAACGCGGGCCTGGACTGTCGTCTTTGTTTGCCATTTGCAAGCCTAGCCGGAGTGGAGAAGAGATTTATCGCCACCGCCGTGACGCACATCACTCATCCAGGCAGCACCTTTCGCGTCGGCCACGCGCATATGCCATCCACCGGTTGCCGTGCTCCTTCAAAGGGATGTGGATCAATTTCAGAAAGCATTTGTCGGATTGCAGTGGAGCTCATTTGCATTTAGCTACTAGCTAAACAATCAAGGTAGATTAAAGGTGACAGTTGGTGGAGCATTTGGCACTCCAGTGGCTGTGATCTTGGAGAATATTTCAAACTGGCGAGGCAAATGACCCTCTCGTCCCTCTCGGTCCAGAAAGTCCAGCAATCAGTGTCCGCAGGCTAGGCGAGTTGACGGGTTGACATCACGCAAGGCTGGGATGAGATACGGGTTGCAAGACACGAGTGATTCCACACGATGGGGGCTCGCAACCACGGTGACACACAACACCTCAAAACACCAACAAAGGTTAAAGAAAATCCTCATCAAGCATAACATGCGTGGATGCGAGGCCCCGACGTAATCGCTTTCATCTGTGCATCTAGTAGCACCACTATCACCGAAGTCGATTTGCTGGTGGCGTTAAAAAAGGCCAAAATATCCACCTTGAACTCACGTTCTTAACAGAAGCGTTAGCATAATCAGGTTAACAAAATAATTTTGTTTAAACCGAGTCCCCATCAGAGCGGGAAGAGCTTTTGTAGTGCAGCCTTGAATACCAGAAAAGATAGCAGTGCTTGAGGGGACAAAGCGTATCCGGCCACTTTTCCGTCTGGTAAGTAGATGCATTCCACCCCCCTCGTCCCTCCCTTCCTCCATCCAACCTTCAAGCAGTACAAAAGTGCAGTCTTAACACACAGTCAACAAATTTTGCCGCATATATTATTAAAACAATTAACGCTATCAAGCACAACAACGGTAAAAAGCGGAAGCAGCAACACCTCAACAAGGACAGTCACCTAACAGTCACCACGCCATTTTGCACTTGCTCCATTGCATGGACGAGTCTTGAACTCCTTCGAAGCCATGTAGTCCCTCAATGCAGGCAAGTTCTACAAAGGATAAAATCACCTCAAAACTTGGAAGCCTTGGGCCTCCACCCACACCCACACCTCTACCACTCGCAAGCAGCCCATCCATTTACCTCAAAACGCGACAAGTAGGCCTTCAGTCTGGGATACTTCTCGAGACACGTTGGCTCAAACTTCATCAGCTGGTTCAACAGCTCGCATAGACTAAAGTCGGGATAGTTGATCTGCAAACACAAGGGGCAACATCAGTGTTGACACATTCCCCCATTCGTAGAGTTGACTACAGCAAAGCAGTACACATTAATCACCTCAAAACTACCATACAGGCTTAGCAACTATCAGTAAACTGGCCACAAGTAGTGGAATCACAGTAAAATATCGACTGCAAATAGTCAGGCGAGAGAGAGGTGATGGAAATACACGCACCTTATCACCAGTGAGCCATTCCTTCTCACCCAAATACGCCTCAAAGTTCGGCAGTTTCTGAGCCAGCGTCTCAAATAAACCTGGCTTCAACTTCTCCTGTGCCATTCGTGGATATGAAAAGAGACCAGAGTTTAAATGTCACTCAAGATGGTCAATTTTCATCAATGTTTTCGAAGAGAATCGACTTACAAAATCGGGACTATAACAAGTCCTCGTAAACGCCATGCGCAAATCCACAACCTCGCATTGAAGCATGTGCAGCACTGCCCGTCGCTTTTTGCAATCGGGAACTGCAATTCAAACATATCACAACATAAATACGAACAAGTCAACAAAACCGGGCAAAATGCCTTAAGCGATGACAACTCAAACCAACTCACTCATGCCGTGTCTATCAGCAATATATTCCAAAATAGCCCCTGACTGAGTCAACTTGAAGTCGCCGTCAATGTAGTAGGGCAACTATCAGAGACATTAGTTGTGGATGGAACATGAAGGGGCGAACCTACATTGGGAAAGTCGAGACCCAAAGAGAACTTCTCCGACAGCCATGCACTACGATCAAAAGTTGGAGCTGGAGAGGGCAGATTAAGCACAAACCACTCGCACTTACTCGAACCAATCTTATATCGCTTGTCATCGTACTCGACTTCCAAGTACTTCAGCAGAAGTCGACTCTGTTCCGCAAGCTAAACGGAAAACAGATCAATAAAAAAGATGTGCGAAATCATCCCTGAGCAGCTGTAAACAGGACTCGATGGACTTAAACAACGAATAGCCAATAGCGCACCGAAATCTAGGGTTCACAAAATGATTCACATCCTTTCTAGATTTATTGTTAAAAAACATTGCCACAATGAGTCCAATTACGGCTGACCTCATTTCGTAAGTATTCAGCTGCAAGAAAAGTGTTGCACTCACCCCTCTGATATCCCAGTAAGCCAGAGTGGGAGCCATTGCAAGGCAAGCAACCAAGCACACAAGCGAAACACCTAACAGCAATGGAGGCCCTTATAAATCGCTCACACGAACGACCTTTGAGCCAGAAGTGGACGGCAGCTTATTGAAATGAACTCGTGACAGTTTTTATTAAAATTATACAAATTTAAGGAAAAGCAACAACGGGTTATTTAGCCAAATTTATCGGATGCGTTGCTAAATTAACAAATAATGGAGCATTGTCAGCACTTGTGATTCTAGCGAACTTCTCTCAAGTCCAAAAGAAATTATTTGATTGAGCTTTGATTTCTAAAAAATCTCATATGTGTGAGCCTCTTTAAGCTTACAAGAATATGTCGGCATACTACCAAAACGTTTGTGCTCAACAGTTTTGCTAAATTTGCTCAATTTTACTAATGGAGAACCAAAGTTTTTAGCATATACAGCAATATAATTGCCTTTGTGTGTCAAGAAAGCCGGTTGATTGTTTATAAAATGGATGGTTTTTAAACAGAGCAAACATAGAAATAGCTTGAAATGGATTCATTTGATAATGTCCTGTTTTGGAGACCTTTGCCTAAAGCAGTTACTTCGCTATCATATTGCAATTTTATGCTTTGTTTTCCTCCTTAAGTTCGTGGTTTTTAATGCCCAGATCGTAAAGATTGGTTTAAAGTTCCAAATCTATGGCTTGAATTTGTGACGCTGTTGCCCTCTGAGTAGAGAGCAAACCCTAAGCCAACACCACTACGATTCTTTGGCATAGCCCCAAAGGCCAGCCCACCCAGCGAGGTACAAGGGGGGTAATTCATAGTACAAAAGTGGCGCTTCACCAATACCGAGGGATAAACCACTATCGTATTCCACAACTAAGGATGTCATCGACCAACCAGTCTTTTTGTTCCTTGACTGTGAATGCTGAGATGTTGACATCAACGACGGACTATTCACCCCTTCAAGAATCGCATTGACTTCAAATTGTGGCTGAGAAATATAGT